CTTCTACCCACCCCATTAGAGACCCAATCCGATGGACCCTTACCATGTATCCCTCCTCCCATCACAAATCTCGTATTGCCCAAGCTATACCCCATATTAAAATTGAATTTGATACAATCCATCCTACTTCTAGATACCCCTCCACCAAGGTATCCTTTAGTTCCACAACCATATGCTTCTGGCTTGTCTGAACATCATGTGGCACCTCTTTTTTTTATTAGTAACAAAGAATTTTTTTTATTAAAAAGATTAGGGTGAAAAAGAGATGAAAAAGACAAGGCATCCGAGAAATCTACCAAGTAAGAGAAATAAAAAAAATTAAAAAAATAATTAAAAAAAAACTACAAAATTATATATTACACAAAACTTCAAAAAGTAGCAAATTTTACCCAATAAGCCCCCTATGTCTTCCAATTTGTCTTCAAACACTCTTTGAGTTGCTTTGCAACCAAAATTAACCATATAATCACAAATTACACAGCACCAAAGAACCTAAGCTTTAGGATTAGAACCAAAACCCATTAATTCAATACAAAGCAAATCAATACAAGAAGAATGTATCACCCATTCCACCTTTGCTGCATAAATATACCCTCCTCCACCATTGGGCCAAAGCCACTGACCAACGTAAAAATAATAACTATTTTCCTCTCCGTCTTACATACACACAATTGAGGATGCAAATGTAAACAACAATTCGGCCTCCTTTTGAATCATGTCATTAGTATTAAGTTTCTTATGAGCCATAGTCCAAGCAAATACTTTAACCTTAAGTGGCATATTCGCTTTCCAAATCAAGTTATGAGAGACAAAGATGAGAACATCTGAATTACCACAAGATTTACCACAAAAAAAAAAAGAAAAAAAAGGGAAGAGAGAACCCAAATGAAGAGACCACACCCTTTATCACTAACTTGAGTAACCAAAAAACCCCCTCACAAATAGATATTAAATAAGTTAAGAAGCACAGACACTATTAAGGTATCTGACACTTCCCGACAATCAATTGGACATTGATTGTCATTTGTTGAACACATGTCTAAACGTGTCGTTTTATTTTTTCTAAATTTTTTGTACTTAGACACACGTGTCCATCCTTAAACACACATGGAACTCATTACAAGTTCAAAAAAAAAAAAAAAAAACTTCAGAATTTAATGAAAAAAGAAAAATAAAGTAGATTTCTAACTATTAATCCATCATTCTTTAAACTTTAAAAATTGGTTATGTTAATTAACTTTGAACGTAATATTCATATATATGATATTTAATAAAAATACAAAACCCTATATTTAGTGTGTCATGCACGCATCATGTGCTGTATTTTTTTTTTTTTTTGTTTGTTTGTTTAAATTGCCGCATTGGCATTTCCATGTGCTCATGCCATTTCACGTGTCGTACTTTCAACTAGAGAAGCAAATTCGTTAGCCTCACGGTCTTTAAGATTCCTTAAGAAACGAAAATTCCACTATATCAAAGAAGGAGATAAAACCACAGAAGCAATCGAGGCATCATAGAATTGAGATAAACAATACAAACAAGGACCCAAATTAGCAAATGAACACTCTCCATTTCCCACATCAAGTCGAGTGTATTGTGAAAAACATGCAAAATTTTGAGAAATGCAGTTCCACAGAGATCAGTAATTCCCCAAACAACCCACCCAAGAGTTCTCAACCATTAACTTGAAGTCCATACTCTTAATGACAACATGCCATAGGGAATCGCGTTTCCATGGAAAACCATCCCAACTAATCAAGTGTTTAATCGCATAAAAACTCCCTTAGCACTATTTTTTTCTTTCAAACTATTCTCCACAATCACTGAAACTTTAAACAAAGATAAATAATAAATGAGAATGCTTGCCAAAACTGATTAAACCTAAGCGGATCTATGTCCTTTCAAAATCAAAACTTTTTTCATCAATCATATCTTTTATCCAAAATAGAACCGAAGTGCTTAACCACTTTCAGAGGCAGTTTATAGAATCATGGTTTAATAGGCCAAGCTTATTTGGTCCTTTTAAATCTATTGGGGATGAAGAGGCGCGAGTTGCTTTCGAAGCTGAGTTCACAGAATCTGAAGTTGTGGCAGCTCTTAATAATTGTGATGGGAACAAGGCCCCTGGCCCTGATGGTTTTAACCTTATGATGCTCCAGAAGTGTTGGCAAATAATTAAAGGGGATGTGATGCAATTCATGAGTGAGTTCCATACCAACTCAAAGTTGGTCCTTGGTATTAATAGCTCCTTTGTAGCCTTGCTTCCTAAGAATGAAAATTCTTCTTCTCTCAGTGATTTTAGGCCTATCAGTCTTATTGGATCATTGTACAAAGTGTTATCCAAAGCTTTATCCAGCAGACTCAAAGTTGTTTTACCCAAGATCATTAGTGATTCTCAATCAGCTTTTATAAGGGGTAGAAGTATTCTTGATGGCATCCTGGTTGCTAATGAGATTGTTGATGATTGGAAGAAGAAGAAAAAGAAAGGTCTTATCTTAAAGCTCGATTTCGAGAAAGCATATGATTCAATTAATTGGGAGTTCCTCTTCTCCATGTTATCAAACTTTGGATTTGGATCAAATGGATGAAGGAATGTGTCTCAACTGCCAAAGTCTCTATTCTGGTGAATGGGTCACCTACAGCTAAGTTTAGTCCTCAAAGGGGACTTAGACAAGGTGATCCCTTATCCCTTTTTCTCTTTAACATTGTAGCTGAGGGCCTTAATATTCTGTTACATAGAGCTGTCCAAGCTGGATTGATCAAGGGTGCATCAGTTGGTTCAAATGATCTTACTATTACTCACCTATAATTTGCTGATGACACAATTTTGTTTTGTGAGGCAAGAAGGGAGGAGGTGCTTAATATCAAAAGAATATTGAGGTGTTTTGAAATTTTGTCTGGGTTGAAGATAAATTATCATAAGAGTGTAGTGTGTGGTGTTGGAATTAATGAAGAGCTTACCAAAGATTTTGTTGCCATATTGAACTGCTTGCATCATAGGTTACCTTTGAAGTATTTAGGGATGCCATTGGGGGCTAATCCAAGGAGAAGAAGGTCTTGGCAACCTATCATCGATAATTTCAAATCAAAACTTGCTTCTTGGAAGCGAAGGCTCCTTTCCTTCGCTGGTCGGTTGACAATGATCAAGTCTGTGCTATCTTCACTACCAGTTTTTTACTTATCTTTGTTTAGAATGCTTGAAGGGGTAGCCAAAGAGATTGATAGAATTCAATCCAGATTTCTTTTTCTTTTTTTGGGGAGGGGGGGGTGATGAACTTAGAAGGAAAATTCACATGGTAAAGTGGGAGGAAATCACTCAAAGCAAAAGTAATAGGGGTCTTGGTACTGGAAAGGTGAGAATCATGAATGAATGTCTTCTTCTCAAATGGTGGTGGAGATTTGGGAGTGAATCTGGCTCTATTTGGAAACAAGTAATTCTTAGCAAGTACCCACAGTATGGTGGGTCTCGGTGGCCAGATCAAGATGCAAATTCCAGGTATTCTATGGTATGGAGGGATATTTTGAGGGTTGCTGTTAAGTGCCCAGAGTTGCTGGAGTTTTTTAAAGCCAACTCAAAGATCAATATTGGGGATGGGAGGCTCATAAGATTTTGGCTGGATCTGTGGGTTGGTAGTGACTGTTTAAAGAATTTATTTCCTAGATTATTCTCCGTGTCTATGCATAAAGGTGTATCAGTGGCAGTGGTTAAGAGCAGGAGCAATGGAAATGAGGAGTGGGATTTGGTTTTCAGAAGAGCATTGTTTCAATGGGAACTTGAAGAGTTGAGGAGGATGAAGGAGTTGCTACAAACTGCCCCAGAGCTCAGGAATGGTGTGTTAGATGGGTTGTATTGAGCTGCAGACAAGTCTGGTACCTTTACTGTTTCTTCTGCCTACAAGTGGAGTGAGCTACCATCTACTATGCCTGCAAAAGTGGTGGATCTCATCTGGAAGAATGCTGCACCTCCGAAAGTGCAATTTTTTGCTTGGCTAGCGTGGAAAGGAAGGATCAAGACTTCTACTTATTTGCAAAGAATTGGAGTCCTAAGTGCCAATTCTGATGCTAATTGTATATTTTGCAGGAATGAAAGGGAAACTGCCTTTCATGTGCTGCTGTGCTGTCCGTTTAGTTGGAGAGTTTGGTCTAATATTATTGGGTGGTGGGGTGTATCTTGGGTGTAGCTGGGGTCAGTGTTTGGTCTTATTCAATGGTGGACTGGTTTTAGATGCAATAACAGATTGAAGGTACTCTGGAGGATAATTCCACTGGCAGTGCTTTGGTCTTTATGGAAGCAGAGGAATGAAATCATTTTTAATGATTCACAGTTGGACTTTGAAAAGTTGTGTGAACTTATCAAAACACGGATTGCATTGTGGTTCAGAGCCTATAGTCCTTTTTGTTATTCAATTGATGATTTGGTGTTTAATTTGCAAAATGTGAAATTCTGCATCATGCAATGAGGGTTATAACTGTGAACTGCTGCTGTTTTTTGCTGATGCGAATGAGATGTTGTTGTGCTACCTCTCTGGTTTTGATTGTTGTTCTGTTCTGGTGCATCTGGTTTAGAGTGTTGTTCTGTTCTTGTGCATCATGATCTGTTTGGGAAGCCTACACTGTTGGGGTTTTTTGGAGCTTCTCTGCTCTTTCTGGAGCATCATCTGTATATATTGTTGGTGTGCTGCCTCTCTGGTATATTGTTGTTTGGTTCAGGTGCATCATCTTCTGTTGGGATATAACTTGTGATGGGGTTAGGTGCTTTCCATTGCTAAAGCTGCTGGACTGCTGGGGATTGGTGCATTATATTTTGTTTAGATCTTGTTACTCCTTCTGGTTTTGTTTTCTTTGTTGGTTTCTCACCAACTAGGAGATTGGAGCTTTGTTTAGCTCCAAGCTCCTCTTTATTGATGTATCTTTCACACTTTGTATGGTTCTATCATCAATAAAGTTTTTCTTTTTGCCGATCAAAAAAAAAATATCTTTGATCCAAAACAAGAGCCATAAAAATTTGACTTTGAATTACCTCCCAAAGGAAGCACTAGATACTTCATTGGATCCAGGCACAACCAAAAAGCCTATCCAGACTTTGTAATCTTTACGTTGCGAAATTAAATTCTAAATGGAACTCTTATTTATATTTATCTTCCACCCAGAAAGCAACACAAACACTCCTAACAAATAAATCAAATTTACCATTTTAGACTCGTCACCAAAAGAGAAAAACATGGTATCATTTGTAAACTATAAATAATATAAAGAAACACAATCCTTACCCACCACAAAACCATCCGCTATTCCCACCGTTTTAGCTCTATCCACCAGAAGACTCCAGACATCCCACTACTAAAATTTTGTGGAGTCGAAAGGCAAAAAATGCAGAGGTTAAAATAAGGGCATAGTAATTCTAAGTTGTTTGACAGGGTTGCAAATATAAGAAAACTCTTTGACGTTGTATCATCATTTAATTGCAAGACCACCTCAACACCTCTCACCTATGGCATTAAAAGCTGCATCAGACCTCCTTGGGACCAGCTGTTGGCATAAAGCAACACCCAAACGAGGACCACCAATTGTTCACCCAAGATTGGCCATCCTGCGTCTCTTGCACCTCTGCACATTGCAAATAAGTTGCCACCTCAGCGCATGATGATTTTTAGTGTCACAGTCCCCGGTCTGTCTATATGACTATTGAGGGGTTATCTCGCCACTGCTACAACAACACAACCTCTAGGAAAGATCTAGGACTCTACAACCTGACCGAGCAGCAAAGCTTTCAAAAAAACTTTGAAACTCTAGCCACTTCCAACCATCCTCCTACCCCAATTTAGCAGATTCAAAATTCCACCAACCGACCAACACCAAACAACATTTCAAAAAAATTCTCACCCCAGCTTCTCTCCAAGACATCAACAAGCTCAAAACTAAGAAAAATGACTGATCAACGTATTCACAGCCCCTTTCAAGCATATGCCTCCCTTATTTGATATTTGATATTGACAAGGAGAAACAAAACTTTTGAAAATTTTAGTGCAATGCCAGCCACTTCCATTTGTACAATCACAAAGAAAAAGAGATTTTCCAACAATTAACGTACCCAACTAACTCTACATGCGTGTGTATAATGTTTTATTTTTATGTAGCTGGTCCCAAGGCCAGATAGAGAAGGTTTGGGTTAGGTAGCTGACAAACAGTGTAAAACTTTGATAGAACCCTTATGATCATAAATGCTGAGAATATTTCTGCCCTTCATTGATTGAAATGGAATAAGATTCATGTAGTCAACCACAAATAGTCGGGACAAGGCTCAGTTGTTTAATTTACTCAACTAATTTTAGTTTAATTATAAGTATTTTAGGAAATTGAAATATTAACAATACTAGTAGTTTTACCAAAGCATCCCCAAAAGTAGGAAAATACCAAAAATCTTTATTTCCCTCCATTAACTTATCAGAAAAATATCTTTATTCCCCAATTGAAATATTAACAATACTAGTACTTTTACTAAAGCATCCCCAAAAGTAGGAAAATACCAAAAATCTTTATTTCCCTCCATTAACTTATCAGAAAAAGATCTTTATTCCCCCTGACTATATTCTCTTGGAATAGCTTTTTCCATTTCCCTCCAGAGTTTCCAACAAACAAACAGAGCATTGGGAAATTTTAAATTAGATTCATGCTTACAGGGGTTGAAGTAACCAACCATGCCCCACTCTAACACTTGCATAGAGGTCCATTTTTGGTTATCAACCTTTGCTGCAGGGATTAGATTCAATATCACAGGCCGTAGTCCATTTTTTGCTAATAAACTTTGCTGGCTGCCCCCAAAATAACTTCACTCAGGCAAGACCGGGATTTCGTTTTCTAAGAAATTTTTTTGGTAATCCACATAAATAAATGCATATGCTCAATCATATAATTAAAGGGGGGTTGCAGATAGCTATTAAATAATTCTAGAATGGGTGGTTATTAGCAGAGAAATTTTTGTGAGAGCAAGGATGATAAGACAAACTTGTCCAGATAACAAACATGGAAGACTTTGAACTATGTGAAAAATTACCACTTGTGCCTAAGGTTGTAAGCATGTCATATTGGTATGGGAAAAAAAACAAGCAAGCACCAAACAAATGTCGGCGTTTCTGCGAGAATCGAGGGAAAACCACAGGACCTCCAATTGAATATGTGTGTTCAGTGTGACATACTAAAAGAAAGAAGCAATTACCCTTTGACGTTTGGAGCTTGGAGAGGATGGTGGATTGCCATGTCGACTACTTGATGAGGCCCCTCTGTTTGAGTTGTCCTGAGCCTGTACATATGTAAAATGTTCAGTTAGAAAGGCTACACAGCCATTTTACAAATATCGTAAATTTCATCTTTAACACTGGGGAAACTTTGATAATAAAGGAAACTCACTTGTGTTGAGGATGCTTGTGTAGTTCTATCCTCAATATCACCTGCTCCCTCAGATGATGGAATACTTGACCCACTTGCTGTGCTTTCAGATATGATGAGCATGATCTGACGAAGTAAATTAGACAAGAACAGTCCTTCATCACCCTCTCTTGGTGCAGCCATCTTAGTGGCAGCACTCTGAGTTGCTCCTGCGTGAACTGCAGCAGAACTTGTACCCATTCCATGGAAGTTAATGTCACCAACATGGATATGCTCTCCAGGGAATATAGACCTCAGCAACTGATCAAGTCCGCCATGAATCTGCGTAGAAAACCCTTGACCAATTTCTGTCCCATCACCTGATGGAATGTTTCCTGAAATACAAACAAGTTTCATGTGCTTAACAAATTATTTATTTATTTATTTTTAATTTTTTATGAATCTTTCTTTGTAACATGCTCAATTAGTTTTAAAGAGTATAACTGAAGAGTGTATAAAGTTACACTATATATAATAAAAGCTTGATATTGATCAATCTACTACATTATCTTCATATATACAATATTATTTTCATATACTATGTAGAAATCAGTACACATTACAATATGGACCGTTAATCATTCAAATGGAGATTCCTTGATCAAAGACACTTTAATTTGAAACTGAAGACAGATCAAATGCAGAGTAGATGAACTATGCGAGAATTGCAGATGTATATAGATGATGATTTACTCTATTTAAATGCATGCACACATGCAAGCACACAACCATGTGGTGAGAAGGGAGTGGTTTCTGAGAGGGTAATTTTTGGGAAAAATGGGCCGAGCTTCGAGTTGGGTTTTGAGGCCCAAAACGCAGAGGACTAGGTAAAAAGGCCGTACTGAATACTCAGGCTTAGAGGGCAAGGTTACTCCGGCCTTGGGGAGACAAAGTTACTTCGGCCCAAGGAGATGAGTTTATTCCGGCTCAAGAAGAGATAGTTGCTTCGGCCCAAGGAAGAGTAAGGCTACTCCGATCCAGAGACAACTCGGAGTAGGGCCGGTCTTAGAGTTAGTCCGGTCGCAGTATGTTCTGGGAAAACCGGTTTCGGAATTAGTCCGGTCGTGACACACTCTGGTTAAGTCGGTCAGAACTTGTTACTTGGAAGTTTGATCTAAGCATACCAAGGTTGAACAGGGGCAGCCGAAGTAATGAGTTAAAGGAGAAGACCGAGCTAAGGATAGTTCGGCCTTCTCTGTGGCTCAGCATAGCCAGTGTTATTTCGGCCAGGCGGTAGTTCGGCTACGAAGAAAACCATCCCACTTGGTTTAAGCAGTGGGGGAGGGTGTGAAAGGATAAGCATTATCCTTTAGAGTATGAATCCTAGGAGGACTCTACATGGAGAAATACAAGTCCTACTAGGATTGTGCCACGGGAAACTTATAAAAGCTCACAAGCATCACCTTGGAGGAGGTAATTGAACACAATCTTTCTGAAAACTTAGAGCTTTGTCTATTTGTCAAGCTTACTGACTTAGGCATCGGAGAGGTTTCCGGCACACACCCGCCGGCTAGCTCACGTTTGTGTTTTCAGGTGACAAAACGACGTCGTACGGGGGAGCGTGGACTTGGTCAACAGGATTATACGAGGAGAATTATTTCCTCCCCGTACAATTGGCGCCGTCTGTGGGAAGAACAGACAAGAACAAAAACCTCTTGACTAAGCTTCTCCTTTTCTCATTCAATGGCACACATTGAAGACTTGCCGCAGTCCAATGTACATGTCAGATATTTTTTGAAAAATATATCTGAGCCGTTGTTTTATAATTTGAATAGATCTGAGTCGTCCAAATGTCCTAGTAGGACAAATGTGTGTATGACAAATTTAAAAATCATCCACTTTACTATATAGATGTTGAAGATTTATATGAGGTCTAAATTTACGAAATCTATTCGGTATTCAATATATTTAAAAATAATAATTAATTTTTCAAATTCATTTAATTTGTGTACTAAAAAATTGTTTAATATAATCTCCACTATACGCAGTAAAATCTGGTTCTTAATTCTGGGATCATAGACTTTTTCATATAATATGAATAAAAATAAGTGATCAAAAAGGAGAAAATAAAAAAAATAAAAAG